AGGGAAAATTTCATTAGAAAAAATAAAAAAACAAATTAATTAAAAATAATAGGTCTTATAAAAAAAAAATCTTTTTCATTTCCGGGAATAATTTGTACCCTTCAAAATTGCATAAAACCCAAAGGGGTTCCCATGTATGCCTAAAACCATTTGCACTGCAAGAATGTATTAATATTTATCAACATTTATTAGAAATTCTGGAACCATTTAAAGATCATTTGATATTTTTGGAACCCCCCCCCCCTAGAGCTACCAAAAAAATTGAGAACTCCGATAATTGCTTATTTTTCGATGCTGAATGCAAAAATAGATTCCGCACTGTAATTAATAGCCTTTCTAGAAAAATTAATGTAGGAGTTTTAACTTGTTCTACAATTCTTTGTTTTTTTTCTTTTAACTTTTAACAGTGCTTTCCAAAGCTTTCCTACCTTCCATTCATATAAGTCCTTTAAGTATTAGTGCTTTGCAACCTGACAGTTTTTTTCTACAGTGGGATTATTATGATGATTTGTTTTATGAAAACCTTATAATTCCATTTCCAATTTGTGATGAAAACAGATGTTATTACTTTTCAAAAAATGGATTTGGAAATGAAACTGGATTCTATGATTCAGGAAGGTGCACATATATTGTTGAGAATGAATATTACTGTAACTTTAAAAAAAAAAGAAATAATGTTTTGCGCTGAATATAAACACGATTGTGAAATTGTCAAAAGTACAATGACATTTCATGATCCATTAGTCCTTAACGATACACACACTTTGCTGTTTACAAAGAATCCTACAATTATAAAAAAATGATTTATTTATTGAAAATCTTGATTTGTTAACTAATTATATAGTATCTTTTAATCTGAATACAACGTTTTTTATAATTGCCGGGATTGCAATTTTTAGCCTTGCAAGTCTAATTATTATATTTACAACAATCCTAGCTGTCAAAAAGTGTAAAAAACAAAATAAAAACACTGCAATAAGAATTAACAGATCTAGAATTTATTACAGTGCTTTTAGACAGCAAACTTCTTCGCTGTAATTTTAAATGTATATAATCTGTAGTATTTAGTTATATTTTTAAACATATTTTTGGGACATCTTTATTGTAAATAATAACAATTTTTTATATATATATATATATCACAATAATGGCTTACATTTATAAACACAAAAAGAACAAAAATAATAATATTTGATAAGGGAAACAAAAAAAACCTATAAAACTGGGTAATAAATGTAAAATAATTTTATTTGTTAATCTTAAGTTGTATAAAGTAGTAAACATTTATTCTCCATTTTTTTCTTTCTTTTTTGAGTATCATGGGTTTATATCTCTATTTGATTTATTTTTTTTTACTCATTTTCTTTACAAAGAAAATTAACCTTTACTTTTTAGAAACTTTAGACCAGGATCTTTGTTTCAACATAGGGTTCTCTGATTGTAATGAAAACTTCTGTAGATGAGTATTGGTATACAGATGAGATTTGATAATAAATCTGCTGGACTCGAGAATTAGAAGAAGACAAGGGAAAAATTTTACCCTTATATAGTTGTGAATAGAAAAAACAGGATGTATTTCCACTGACCTAGAGTCAGGTTTTTCTATAGCTGTATAGCACACAACTTCAGTTTTAACCTTATATAGTTGTGAATAGAGAAAACAGGATGTATTTCCACTGACCTAAAGTCAGGTTTCTCTATAGCTGTATAGCACACAACTTCTATATTTCCGCTGTCTGGTTGCAATCATATAAATAGTTTGTAAACTAGTAAAAGCCTCTCTGTTAAAAAGTTACCATGATCAGTGAATAAACGTCCATTACTCAAACTACTCTTTCAAGTAAGTCATCTTTTTTCATAGAAGTGTTAATGAGAATGAAAAAGAGGTTTTTTTAGTCTTTTATTGAAGTACGTTTTTGAAGTTACTCAAGTGGTCACATTTTAAAGCACTTAAGGCAATTGGAGAAAATGATTAGGATAAAAGCTTACAAACTTTGACTTTAGAATACAATGCTACTTAACATTACTTTATGTAGGGAAATATACCTGACTCATCTGTCCCTGTTGACACAATTCAAGCCAGACAACCCCTCCCCCCACATATGCTGGAGGAAGAACCCAACCTGATAATAGACTTATGTCACAAGCAGACCATGTTCATATCAGAAGACAGTTCCATGGGTAGAGCCAACCTACTGAGGAGATACAGCCTGGTGATATTGTTTATAGGGTGGTGCTCCCTGTAGTAGGCAACTCAAGGAAACTCCAATAGCAATGGAGCAGACTGTTGACAGTTATTCAAAAAGATTAACAATGCAATGTTTAAAGTAAGGGAAACAAACCCTGTGAGGTTGTAGCTCCGGTTGGCCAAAAGACTATGCCAAAAAGGTGTTCATATGTTGAACAAGTTACCCTGACTACCAAGAGAAGTAATGAATCAACTTCATGACAAGTTGGCAGTAACCTATCTCCCATTATAGAGTCAGTGATGGAGTGGTCGACCAGTTCTTCCGAGACAATCAAGGTTGCCAGGAGCAAGATGATGCTTAGTCAGATGATTCAACCATCCTCAAGAGAAAAAGTGAAAGACACCACAATAGTATTAGATCCAACAACAGTGAAAAATTTACAAGCCAGATATTAAGCAAGAACTAAGTATAAGAAAAACAAACAGAAGAAAAATCTGGAAATGAACTTTTCCAATCATTCAATAAATCAATCAATCAATTAATCAATAGCTCTCTGGAGAATAGGAGCAAGAGTAGCTCACCAGAGCAGAATTTAAACAGACACTTCAACACAGACGATATAGAAAATGGAGAATTAACAGCAATGTTACAAGATCAAATAATGACAGAGGATCAACTGACCTCAGCAACCTCTCAGATAGCAGAACCAGAAATTGAACCTGAACAACAGAAAAAGCCAACTGTAGAGTTAAAAATTACAGTGAAACCAACTGAGTTGACAAACACATCTACAAGGTTGAGGAAGCAGAGGATCTAGCAGAGTAACCAAACCAGTGCATAAGTTTGACCCTTTCCCTCCATTCAGAATGCCCAGATCGCCCAAGAAGTACAAGATTTCTGAGAATGCCATAGACAATGATGAACACAGGAAGTAAAATAAAAGCTAGAAAATCAAAAGCTTGGAACATCCATTCTGCCCTGAAAGATTCATTGGAGAGAAGACCCCAATGAGTAAGACCTCCAAGGTGCTACACATCATGAGAGAGTTTAATATCAACCAGGACTAGAGCAGCAACTTTAGGAAAACTGCAATGTACAGTGAGTATCAAAAACAATAAGTCAGTAGTAGACAGTAGGTCAGAATTTAGAGTAGAAAGTAGAAAAGGAAGTAGGTCGAAAAGCAGGTCAGGAAGTAGGGAAAGTAGGGAAGACAAAAATGAAAAAAAAAGAAGGGGTAAATTTTATTGTGAAGTGGTATCCAAAGTTCTCACCCCAGACAGAAGCCTTACATTCGCCAGCAATGCATATGTTCAATAATAACTGTATATTTCTTCAGCACAGAAAATGAGAAAGCTTAGGGAAGCTGATCAACCTGGATGCATGTGCAAGGATGGATGGAAGGTCATGAACCCAATCACCCACCACTTCATCTAGACTGAACAAACACCAGCTCCAATATATGTATTAAGACCATGTCCATTAAGACAAGAGGATACATATGTGTACAATTAAGATACATTAGGGCCCCTTGCATTAAATAGCTGTTGCTACAGTTCAGGAAAAGAACAACATCTTTAAAAAATTGAAGGAGGATACTAAGAATTCAGATGAACTTCTTAAAGACAGAATTTTTTACTGACTCACAATTAAATTTTTTTTCTTACAGTTAGATAAAATTCTTACTTTTGTATTAAAACCTATAAAAAACTATAATCACTTGATAATTTTCTTATGCATTACCATGATAATTGGTAAAGAAATAGTGTTACTAAAAAATCTTCATTACAACCAAAATCTACTCAATGTGGAAATATAGCCCTTTTCTGCGTTTTCATATTATCTTAAGTTAAAAAATATAAGCATTAAAATTGTAATACTTTGAAATCTACGAATAAATTGTTTTCTAAAATATTTATTTATTTACATTTTCTAAATCAATTTCATAACATTGGCTTTCATAACAAAACTGGTTTCTCTACCTCGCATAGTTTAACTGTAACCTTACCCCACCTTGCAGGAATAATAAAAAAATCTGTTTTTTAATGTCATCTTCATATTTTTGATATTCTCTCAGCCTAGTACTTGTTCTGTCTGGATGATGTGCCTTTTCATTTCATTTTCGTAGTTGAGCTAAGTTTTATTAACAAAAGTCAAAAACCATTAATTTTAAAATCATGAATAAAACACATAAGCCAAATTTGAAAAAAAATTAATGGTCGAAAATGAAAAGCAAACAGATTTTTTTATTTAAACAGTAAATTTCGTTTTTTAAAATTTTTCTTCTAAAAATTGCATTAAACTGGTAAAAAACTGGTTATTTATGTTATTTATGTCTTCTTCTGTGTTTGACAAACTGTTTCCACTGTTAATACTACAAAAGACCTAAACAGAACATTCGCATTTAGAGGGTGATGCAGGATTAATGTGTTTTACTCACCATAAGTTTAGAATAATTTTCATCATGTTTAACTTGTAAATATTTCGTTTTGAACAATTGCATTTATAAGTTTCAGTTGAGGCTTCATTCTATTCAACATATATACCTTATCCTTTTCATATTTGATTCTAGAGAAGTAACCAAAGTCTAAGGCTGAGGAGGAAGAGAATTGAATAAGTGCTAAAGTGAAAAGTTTAGAATTTCAAAATTCTGACCTTTTATTTATATGATCAATACTTTTAATCAACATTTTTTAGAATTTGCATGTGTTGGCAATTTGGGCAGATTTTTAATAATCTTCGAACACAAATTCAAATGTGCTTGTCACAGATTTTATGAAAAAAGTGTCTCATAACTAAAACATATATTTAATTAGTTGACAGTTTCCTGGCTGGTAAACCTTTAGATACTTATAAATCTGGGAGTAAACTTATAAATCAGGTGATTTATTTCTAGAGTTGTGAAAAGTCTTAAACTTTTTTTTTTACATATAGTTTCCATCATAGGCAAACTTTGACTATAGTGTAACAAAAGCAAATGTTTTTAAAATTCTTCTATACATAAAGAAATTGAGTATTTGCCACAAACTCTGATTTTGCAATCTCTATATCTTTGCAACCCAGTGTCTTAGATCTAATATATTTCAATCTAGGAATACTGTTAGATCAATAAATCTAAGTTTACAATATCAAAGGTTTTCAAAAACTCAATTCCTTTGAACCCTGAGAGAAAACTGTAATATTGTAAAGTATAATAAAAGCAATATATTCGAACGCCCCCCCCCCTCCCCCAGCCTGTTTAGGGTTTCATAATTATTGTAAACTCTGATTTTTAATCATCCTATCTTTGCAACCTGACATTGTAAACCGTGATACTTCAAACAATGATTTCTATTAGTTTAAATAGTGAGATTTAGATAATATATGTTGTACCATGAGGTTGCAAAGATACATAAATTTGAATGAATTGCAGGAACTCATTACCTATTCAAATATCAGGGTTTAGAGCAGATTGATGTAAAGAACAAAACCGTTCTTATTATTGGTACACAGAAGCCATGGATCGAAGCAATTGTCCTCTCCAAGTAAGAAATATGCTTTTTGCAACTTTTTCTTGATGTATTTCGACCATTTTAAGTATAAATAGAAATTAAATATGAATGTTATAAAAACTATGAGGTTTAAGATTCATACAGTTAAACCCTAAATAAGCCATACAAGAAAGAATTTATGAAATGTCATATTCTTCTCTTTATTAACAATGGAATATTGCAGATATTTAGTTTTTTAATTAAATGATTATATGGAGCTCTTTAAAACTGTTCCCACATATTCATGGCTATTTATTTATTTTCGCAAATACTGAGATATACATAAAATAGTATTAAATCCAATGAAAAATTGTTTAGACAACATTTAATAAATTATTTCGATGTATGGCTCATTTAGTCTGTACAATAGTCTGCATTAATTTATTTTTCTATAATTTCAAATTGCATCAAAGTCTATTCATATTAAAGTTTATTTATGTACTTTAAAAGTCTATTTATATCAAAGTCTAAACATATTAAAGTCTATTTATGTACATGAAAGTCTATTTGTATCAAATTCTGATCATATTAAATTATATTTATGTACTTTAAAGTAAATTTGTATCAAAGTCTAATCATATTAAAGTCTATTTATATAGGTCAAAGTCTGTTTGTATCAAGTCTTATCATAGTAAAGTCTATTTGGATCATAGTCAACTCATATTTTATTCTATTTAAGTATGTTAAAGTCAAATTGTATCAAATTTATCATATAAAAATCTTTTTATGTACGTCAAAGTCTATTTGTGTCAAATCACATTAAAGTGTTATTTATGTACAACAAAGTCTAATCATATTAAAGTCTGTTTATGTACAACAAAGTCTATTTGGATCAAAGTCTAATCAAATTAAAGTCTATTTAAGTATCAAAGTTTATTTGTATCAAATTTTAATCATATTAAATTCTATTTATGTACTTTTAAGTCTATTTGTATTAAAGTCTATTTATGTATGTCAAAGTCAATTTGTATCAAAGTCTGATCAAATTAAAGTCTATTTATTTAAGTCAAAATATATTTGTATCAAAGTCTATTCTTATTAAAGTCTATTTACTTATGTCAAATTATAATTGTATCTAAGTCTTATCATTTTAAAACCTATTTATATGTGTCAAAGTCTATTTGTATCAAAGTCTGATCATATTAAAGTCTATTTATTTAAGTCAAAATATATTTATATTAAACTCTATTCATGTATGTTAAAATCTACTTTCATAAAAGTATGATCACATTCAAGTCTAATTTTATCCAAATCTATTTATATTTAACCCTGTACAGGCTGGGGGTCTGAATCTATGTATAGATGGGGGGAAGGGGGGCGTCCTAGGCCCCTCTAGAAAAAGCTCTTAAAGATTAGGTTTAAAGTTGAAATGCATGTTCATAGCCCAGTTTTTAAAGGCCAGCTCTTTGAACAAAAATTAGATCGGTAGCTTTTATAGTTTGAATGCTAGGGAGGGTAGAAAGAAATATCAAGGGCTTAAAATACAGTTTTTAGTTCAGTAGCTAAATGGCCTCCCCCAGCCTGTTTAAGGTAAAGTATATCTTCATATTGACTAAAGTCAATTTGTGAATAAGTTATTGCCCAGGGATCCAGCACTTGTTATGACTCTTGAGTATGGGATGTTTAAAAGTGAATTTCCAAAATTAGAATTTGTAACTCCAGCAGTTTTCAGGTTGGTTTTTGTTAAACTTTTTAAAAATATTGCGGAAAACTCTTGGAAACCCTTAATTATGATTACTAAATCTCTGAATCCACTGTGAACATTTTAAATTTTCTTGTTAAGCCTCTCTTTTGGATATCTCATGAGAGCTTACTCATTGATTGTGGGAAATATTCTAAATATCTTGGTTTTTGATTGTTCAGTTTCTACAATCTGATACCATAGATAAAACAGTACACAGATTGGAAATGTACATAGAGTACACTAGGAATTGAATTCTCTTCTGGTTCTACTGAGTGTCCCACATCATATCAAATTGTTTAAAGCCTTAAATTGACATTTAAGAGAAAATAAAAAAAACGAGTTATTAAAAGAATACGCATAAGTCTAGGGTTTCCAATGACAAATAAAAAATTTCCTTCCAGAAAATGCCAGATTTTTGAGTATTTTGTGCATATTTGGATGGTAAAGTGTTGAAGTAAATAATAAAAATAATAAATAAACGATCGTTAACAAATTTTTAGGGAGAAAAATTGTTTTAGTTCCAAAAAGACGACTGAAAGAATTCATTTTCCATTTCAAATCAAAAAACTGAAAAAATCGTTATCCTGTGTCAAAATGAAAAACTGAAAACAAAAAATATTTTTCAGTTTCAAAATGAACAACTGAAAATAATCATTTCAATACATAAAGTGGCCTTGTTTCTAGAAAGACCAATTCCTGAGGACATATATAGATAAACATAGATAAAATAGATAACGGAACATAGATAATGAAGATCGTACTAATCATGATAACATAATTTATTACAAATACCCCCGGAAAAGGTGATGAGAGTTATAGTTCAACGGAGTTTTAACTATCTCATTATTTCTTTTCAGACATCCCCAGCACTTGACATCAGGCGTTCAAGTTGAATCAGATCCATCCTAGGTTTCTTCTTGTTCTTCAGACGAGCCCAATTTAAGTTAAGTCTTGTGATTAACACCCCCAACCTGGCCGTAACTTCGTACCATACGACACTGATCACTACAGAGATCACCAACATGCTGTACTTGATAAGCAACATGGTACTTAGGAATGTTTTCATGTACTCAATGTCACGGACCAGAGGTCCAAAGGGGTTTATGGAAGCTAATACTGCCTCGCTCCCTTCTTGAATATGCTTCTTGAGATCCTCAAGGTTCAACCTAGCCATGGTACTACAACCTCCGTAGGAGCAGGGATCCTCAGTACAGAGAACATTGAGTAACCTCTGATGTTGTGAGTGTTGGAATGAGGGTAATTGCTGGTAACTCTCCCAGTCTTGTAATTCCTCCATGGTGTACAGTGTAGTCAGGGTTTCAGCAGGCTTATATGAACTGGAAACCATCGTCCTGGCTGGGGCTTCTACTTGAATTACCCGAGTTGATACAGATATCCAACCAGAAGAAGAAGACTGCAGCAAGGTTGGGTATTTGTCATTACATGGCTGCTTAGAAATGTGGGGAGTAATTACACGGGAATCCAGATCTGCAATGTATTTTCCACCACAAACTAGGACTGGAACACCTCTCATGCAGATAGGGGCCTCTGCAATTGGAACTTTAACCATCCTGCAGGAATACTTGTAGATGATTAGTCCAGTCCTACACACAAACAATCCTGACTCACGATGGACAGGATGGAGATAACATTCCTAACACTCAGCCAAGTTGAACATCCACCACGATCAACACGGTCGGTGAGCTCTCTCTAGGACTGGGAATTTAGGTGCTCTAGGTACTTGAGGGTGGGGATCAGGTCCTGGTCACTTCTCACATCTCTACTTACAATGTCTGGCAGGCCAGCAGCTCTCCTGTCTAAAGTAATGTAGACAGTTCCCAAAGAAGTGTGGTACAAGGTTAACTGAGGACAACCAGGCAACATAAAGACCTCCTTCTTGGTAGTGTTGAACAGCATCACCAGGTCATCAGATATATGCTGGTTCCTTCTGATCTCAAGCTGGCATGACAAATCTTCTTATAAGGACATGAGGCTGGTTGCTCGTCCATTAGGTAGACTGTGGGCCCGTCCAGGCACCAATTTCAGTTACAGTCCGCGGGGAGAGCAATCTTGGAGAACTTAGCAGCGATCTGACCTCCTCTGGTTCTGATGTAGACCTCCCGGAGCATTGAGAACTTGATTTGAGTCAGGACTAAAGACTGATCTGCCAGGGTGCCCTGATTCAACAGGAGGGACATACCCTGGCAGTAGGTATTTGTAGGATGCACAGTGATAGAACCATCCTCTACGTACTGGTAGGGAATGGTTTCGCCAGGAGAGATCTTCATTTTCTTACTATCAGGGGAGTTGTAGGAGCCCTTCTTTGCAACCAGGCATTCTTCCAGGTTCACCTCCTGCTCCGCCTCCACCTCGGGGACATCCATGAACTTCCAATGAGAGTATGCACCACAATATCCCCTTAAACACGGAGATAGTTGCAGTACATACCACACTGGAAAGCTCATGGATGTATTCCTCCCCGAGGATCCAGGCATCATTCATTCTTGCTTGTTTTTCTTCTGTCTTCTTTGTCGGGATGAAACAGTCCTCAGGCAGGTGATAATTGTTGATCATCGTGGGCGTGGTGCAGTCAAACGCATTCATGGAGAATGGAGATTCCCTCCAGTCCATACTCCCCTCAGTCTTCATAACAGATGCAAGAAGTAGAATTAATGTTAAAATAGTCTTGAATATCTTCCCGCTCCAGGAGTTATACTTCCTCCTTGGTATGCTGTGCAACTGACTAACTGAGCAAGATATAGTGTTAGAACTGGCTGCTGTTGTATCTTCGCTCAACCCCGCGGTGGTAACACTGCCCAGGCCTGAGGTACTACTACCCTAGTCTGGTGTGAAGTCTGGCTGTACCGGCGCGGCTGTGTATATTGTCCTGTCTTGCTTGCCCTGTTCCGCTGTCACGGCAGGTGCCTCACATACCGGCAGGAACATGTTGTGGCTGGTATTCGCTGGGGTGACATCATCTTCCAACTGCTCTCTCATTGGTTCATCTCTAGTGGCCCCTCTCTCACGTGTACAGTGAACCAATAGGCAATTTACAGATTTCTTGCATCTCTTTGATTGGTCTTCAATATCCCAGCTGGTATAGTATTCTCCATAACTCACAGGCAGAATGTCATGTAAACTCCGTTTTATCCCCTCTTGCCTCCTCAATTTACCGTTGCTGTGGTTTTCTCCATACCATGCTTGCCCCCTCTTCATCCCTCCCCCTCAGCTTCTCCTGCATATCTATCTTGTTCTCTGGGTTGTTGGTAGGCGCTGCACCTGTAGCTTGGGTTAGAGCTGTCTGGGTCGGTTCTTCTGGGTTTCCTAAGCTGGTATGGGGCTGGTGCTCCGCTCCCCTTTCTTCCCTCCCTGCATTTCAACTTCTCTGTCCAAGTCCAGTGTGGGGTAATCTA